AGGTGGCGCGCGGAGCGGCCAGCCGCGCGTTTGCGCAGGGAGTGCGGTCCCGACCTGCTGTCCGGGTGTCAGGCGAGAGTGGCGGTCGGTTTCTAGAGAAGTTGAGCCCTCGAGCCCACCCGCGCCCTCGCCTTCCTCCCTGGAATCGTGGCCGAGCATCAGGCGAGCGTGCCACTCCCAGGGGCCGGAGGGTGCTGTCCGTGCAGCTTACAAGGAGAAGCGGGGGACAAACGGGGGCCCCTACCGACTGTCAAGCTAGTAACTGTGAGCAGTAGTATACCGCCTCTCCCTCCGTGTGCGTCTCATGCAACCTCGGTGTATTGTGCATTTTCCACCAACAAGTGCATTTTGTAAAGCTAGTTGTGGCTTTACGCGATGTCTGTGTCATCGATTTTTGCTTGATCATACCAGCAGTGCGTTTCCCATCAGAACCATGGGTCTGAAAAAGTAAGCTTCAAGTAGGCAGGATGACCAGGTAGTGAGCTAAACCAGCTACGCGAGTTTTGCATAGTATCTGGTGGTAGTTTGGGTAAAACAACAAAGCACAATGTAAAAGAATGTAATTAGTCCCTAGATGTGCTTAGGATGCTTCTCAACATTTAACTGTATCTTTTCTTTTGTCATTGTGAAAAGCCACACTGAAGGTTTTGAGTGTATAGTTTCTATACTTAGCCTCGTAAGTTACAGGATTCTGGAACTTTTCAACAGCTATCAGCATTCATTGCGCTCATAAAAAGTCACTATATCAGATTGGAATTGGGACTATGTAAAAAAGTGTAGGATTGATCACGTGACTACAAAGGATTGAACTGTAAAATAATTGCTCTAGATGCGAACTATGAAACCCTGTAGCTTACAGCAAAGTTTTGTTATGGTGTGAGTCAGTGCGTTTACCCTGCTCTTCGCTCTTTCTATTCTCTTTTCCTCTCAGCTTTGTGTTGTAGTGCCCGCCATATTTGAGAGGGTGGGTTAAGGAACAGATTTTAAATGAATTGCCACTTACTGTGTATTCAGAAACTTGGCAGAAGCCCACACTCTGAGGACTACATCCGAATATTAGTTTGAATGTGTGGATAGTTCCGGCAGAGTAATTGCAAGGTCTAGCTGGGACAGTATAGTAAGGGAGCTTATGGGACTGCTGGAGGTGGTTCTATAATTAGTTACTTATGGCTTCTGAGTTTGCAAGAGGGAGGTAGCAGCCTGCTGCAGAAGATTTTCCGTTATACCAAGAGGGCAGAGGAATGGTATGCTGGCAGTGTCGATAGCTTCTGAGAATTTGATGTGAGGGCCATGTTGGCAGTAAGAAGGCCGGGTGGATACTGAACAGGCAAGATGGGAAGGCAAGGTTTTTGAAGGTTTTAACTTCAGCCTTTAGACCAATTTTTTTTTTTTTTTGAGAAGTTTTTCACTATAGGGCACGCGTGCTTGCCAGAAAGCCAGAGAGAGACAGAGAGACAGAAAGCGAGAAATCACTCCGGGGGGGGGGGGGAGTGGCCACGCCGCAATCCCGTCTCCTCCATTCTCCTCTCGGGATCTTGGGCAGGCATGCACATGTGCCTGGCGTGAGTTTAAGCTACCGGGTCCGGGACTTGAACCACGGTCGCCTACTTGGGAGTCCAGCGACATAGTCATTATGCTAACTGCTGGTCCCTAGACAAATTTTTGGTGAGATTACTGTAGGTAGATGCTCCTGTTTCTGGTTAGTGGATTAAAGTAGAGGACTTTGGGGAACCAGCAGTTAGCGTAATGGCTATGTCGCTGGACTCCCACGTAGTCTACCGCAGTTCGCATCCCGAACCCAGTGGTTTAAAACTCACGCTGGGCTCGTGTGCGTGCGTACCCAAGATCCCGAGAGGAGAATGGAGGAGAAGGGATTGCGGCGTGACCATCCCCTCTGGGGGGGTGATTTCTCGCTTTCTGTCTCTATGTCTCTCTCTGTCTGTCTGGCACGTGCCCTATAGCGAAAACCTCTCTCAAAAAAAAAAAAAAAAAGTAGAGGACTTTTAAGAAGAACTTTGAAAGCGGGCATAGTCTAGATGAAATCAGTTTCATTACTATGGGGATTGTTATTAGAACTAAATTTCAGAGTAGCAAAATGTTAACCCTGAGGATTGCATCTATTCTTACAGTTTCTTAAAAGATTTATCTCATTGTTTTATACAGCTCTTTGGTTTTATATCATCTGCATTTCTTTTTTAAAGAAATAGGGTTTCACAGAGCAACTCCAACCTGTGAGAACTTTCTTTTCTTTGAAATGCAATCAGGAAGATGACCTCTGTGAGTCTCAGGGGAGTAACCCTTTTATTCTCCTGTGTTCTATACAGCCTTTTTTTTTGTTTTTAGAGGGCATGTGCGCTCACCAGACAGAGACAGAGAGACAGAAAGCTAGAAATCACCCCCCAGGGGGGATGGTCATGCGACAATCCCTTCTCCTCCATTCTCCTCTCTGGATCTTGGGCACGCACGCACATGCCGTGAGTTTAAGTCACCGGGTCCAGGATGCGAACCGCGGTCGACTACGTGGGAGTCCAGCGACATAGCCATTATGCTAACTGCTGGTCCCTGTACAGCCTTTTTTAAAGGAGCATAATAATAATAATGCCTCCCCTTAACTTGGGATTGCACTATGAAATAAGCAGTAACAATACAATAAGAAGAAAAAAACTACAATCGATGCCTCTTCTCCCAGAGAATAAATGCTAAGTAGATGGATAAATAGGAAGTGCCTATTTTTTATCCCTTTGCCTCTGTTTTTCTTCATAAGATATGTGTAACGCACCATCCTACTGTGACCTCGGAAAGGCCGCCAAAGATGTCTTCAACAAAGGCTATGGTAAGGATGCTACTCCCAGTTTCCCAGCTAGGGTACGAATTAGTGTGGAATGCCTACTGTGCACAAGGTACTGGGCTAGGAAGGAAAGGTAAGTCAACATTAACCTGCTTTTCAGGACTTAAGTAGGTAACTGAAACAGGTGATTAGACTTCCTTGAGGTAGACCCCCTGCATACATACACACATGCATACACACAACATACTTAACAGTGTCTGTAACATGAATAGCGTACCTGTAATAGTTACCACCTCCTCTGGCTCGTCCTACCGACAGTTAAAGGAGGGGGTACTTTCCCCCTCTCTAAATAATGGCATAGTTTTTATGAAAGTGAAGACACAACTTTCAACTTATGTAGAGTGACACATAATCTATGATTCCTTCAAAAGATATTTATTTTTAGGGTTTAAAATTTCATCTTTAAATTCTTAATTTTTTGCACTGTACACATTTGATTTTTTTCTTACTAACTAGTCACATTTATTGGATATTTTATGCATGTATATATAGGTATGATATTTTATAATAATTTTGATTCTTGGAATAATTCATATTCCTTTCATTCCTTTGTTCTTTAACCTTTTTTTTGGAGAGGTTTTTGCTATAGGGCGCTTGCACTTGCCAGAACGACAGAGAGAACCAGAGAGACAGAAAGTGAGAAATCACCCCCTGGGGGGGGGATGGCCACGCTGCAATCCCTTCTCCTCCATACTCCTCTCGGGGTCTTGGGCACACATGCACATACACCCAGCAGGAGTTTAAGCCACCGGGTCCGGGACTCGAACCGCGGTCAACTACATGGGAGTCCAGCAGCATAGCCATTATGCTAACAGCTGGTCCCTTTTGTTCTTTAACCTAAAAAAAAGGACTATTCTTTTTTTTTTGTTTTTTAGTAGAGAGATTTTTGCTATAGGGCATGTGTACTCACCAGACAGAAAGAGACAGAGAGACAGAAAGTGAGAAATCACCCCCTGGGGGAATGGCCACACCAAAATCCCTTCTCCTCCATTCTCCTTTTGGGATTTTGGGCATGCACTCATATGTGCCCGACTTGAGTTTTAAGCTGCCGTGTCCGGGACTCAAATCGCGGTCAACTTATGTGGGAATCCAGCAATCTAACCATTACACCATCTGCTGGTCTAATGTCTATTCATTTTGAAGGACTTAAAAAAAAGATAGAGTATTTCATTATTACTCAATTTCTTGTAGAATACTCACCAAAAGATACTATATAGTTTCTATATAGAAGACTACTTACTAATTTCTAAGATGCAAAAACTGGAGTGAATGTTACATTTTGTACCTTACTGTATTTTTGTGTGTTTATCTAGGGTTCGGCATGGTCAAAATAGATCTGAAAACCAAGTCATGTAGTGGAGTGGTGAGTACTTCATATATTTTTAATAACGGTATCACAGTTAACCTAAAGGAGCCTGTTTAAAAATAATCATTTAGGCTAATTATATGAAGCAGCATACTTTCTGCACTATGCTACTGCGTCATTGGAAAAGGCATGACACATTTTTGCATAGAAAAATATAGAAAAAATATGTCATGACTTTTCTGATGACCCAGTATTTTCCCTATAGTTTTGTCCAACTCTCAGATTTCAGTAAGTGTATGTACACTATGATTGTCTATTTTTAAAAAATTATTATTTATTTACATTTTTCTGCAAAAGTGTCATTGCTTTTTAAATTTTTTTATATTACATTTAATCACATGTATCTTTACAGTGTATAACATTTCTTTTTCCAGCATGATTACCATGCATATCAGTCAAGACAAAGACATTACTATTCATATCATCAAATAGCTTTTCATTTTTTTAGATGATTATTATTTTTATTCTCATTTTTTTGAAAAGACATTCAATCACTATACATCATTTGGCTTGTAAAGAGAATGATTGTCTATTCAACCTATAGACAATCAGGCCGAATCTGGGGGAAGACCATTTGTGTTCATTATAATATGAACATTCTGTGTCTTAGTCTCATAAGATAGAAAATATATGTTTTTTGACCCATGTCATTGCTTTTTAAAACATTTTTAAGTTTGTTTGTTTCTTTCATAAGAAGAGGAGGCCCTCAACAAGGTCTCATCATCTGTAATTCTCCTGCCCCAGCCTTCTGCGAGCCAGGATAACAGGTGCACTTGGTGTGTTCAGGTCGACCCAGTATCTGAACTGGGGGCCTCCCAATGGCTCCAGTAGTACATCATGGCACCCCCTGCCTGCTCCATGGTGGCGGCAGCCGAGCTGCGTCATGTTTGTACTTTCACAGATATGTGTATGGGCGCTAAGGCTACTTGCCTTTTACAAAAACAAATTAATTTTAGTCTTTGTTTCTTCCAGATGAGTTGCAATAAAATAGGGAAAATAGCACGTATTTCTATATGTTGATGTGTAGATTATCCTGCAGTTTTTAACCGATGTTCCTATAGTCTGTTTTAGTGAGTGTTAATTATCAAAAGGGTATGTTGGCATGTTTTTCAAAGTATTTTTAAACCAGAACTTTTACTCAGTGAATCTCAGCAAATAAACTTTTCATTCACCTCATTCTCTAAGTTCTCACTGAAGACAGAACCGATGTAGGCGTCTTAGGATGCTTTGGTACTTGGTATAATCCTGGTTAGTCACTAGCATGCTTTCTCCGCATAACTCTGGTGCATACATACATGCACCTGTCTTACTAAGATTAGGCATATTGTATATATGGTTTTGCTAAAAAGTAGAATGACACTCATTTTGAGTAGTTTTCAAATTTTGCCTAAGTTGGGTTTGCGTTGCAAAAATCAACTAAAATTCTATCTCCCTTTCATGCTGCCGTGATGTGATACTCATTCAGATGGTAAGAGAAAAAGTGCTCTGTGTGCTTGTTTCCATGGCTGCTTTTGGTCTTTGGTGTTGATTTAGGAAGAATTTCACCCATCGTTCCCGATTTCTTAGATTGTATCTTGGTGTTGCTATCACAAGCCATCTACTTAACAGTAACATTCTTGTTTTATGGCTTACTAGCATTTTATGCATGTTATAACTGTATTTTGCACCTGTTTGACCTAACTGTATAACTAGACAAAAACTGAAGCAATTGTGGGCCTAGCGGTCAACCCAGAGTAAGTCTAGCCTTCTTTTTGAGATTTGTACCTCTGGTAGTTTAGATTTTTTTGACCGAGCGTCAAACTGACAAATGACGATGATAATAAGGAAAAATGTAGACTACTCCTTTACCTTAATTTCGTGCATTGTTTCCCTAACACTAAAATTAAGACTTAATATTTGTTCTACTTACCAAGTTAATGGAAAGTAAATGTAAAAAATAAAATACTGAGTTAGATCTTTTAAAAGAAAATGATGGTCTCATTAAGAAATTATATCAACTGTTAAAGGTGACTAACACTGTATCATTGTCTTACTAAGACCTTGCCCTAAATGTGTAGTGTGACACTCTCTTTGAAAGCCTTCTGCGTGGTGGTGATAAACAGATCTTAGCTTCCCAGTTGCCTATCTGCCTGTGGAACTGGAGTTAAGGAGCAGGGTGTTAGAGGGAGGATTCATATTGCAGACAGTGAGACAGAGCCGATCAGGCCGGCAGCATTACATGACGCTGGCTGGCTGTCAGAAATGCTCCCTAACAGCAGGGCCAATCACAGGGCTTTCTCTTGACAGTTCATAGATTGTCAGTGACAGGTGTTGACTGTTTGCTTCCCCTGGGAAGGAGGTCTGTCTCTCATCGCTTCTTGTCATATGATTGAAAGGACACTTCACCAGGGAGGAGAGTGTATTTTAAGGCATTCATAGTAACTGCTAGAAAGCACTGGAAAAAGTAGACAAGATAGAGAGCGGGAAAGAGGGATAAATTAAAGTCACAATGCATCTTTGCATAGTAAAAAGTGTCATGATTTTTCCAGTGACCCAATAGCATTGGATTTTATTGTGAACATAAGTAGATACTTTCAAACATTGAAATCATTTTTGCTAAAGTTTTGCAGACACTAACAACGCAACTTCACAACAGCATAAGAATACTTAATGCTATTACACTGTATACTTAAAAATTGTTAAAATGGTAAATTTTATGTTAAGTATATTTTATCACAGTAAAAAAAATATATATATATAGGGACCAGCAGTTAGCGTAATGGCTATGTCGCTGGACTCCCATGTAGTCGACCGCGGTTCGAGTCCTGGACTCGGTGGCTTAAACTCACGCTGGGCACGTGTGTGTGCGTGCCCAAGATCCCGAGAGGAGAATGGAGGAGAAATTAAATATATATATATAAAATGCTTTGGCCGTAAGGCACATGTGCATGCTGGAGAAACAGAAACAATGAGAGGGAAAGTGAGAAATTGTCCCCAGGGGGATGGGCATGCCACAATCCTTTTTCCTCCATTCTCATGAGATTTTGAGCATGCATGCACATGCACCTGGCAAGATTTTCAAACCACTGGGTCTGGGACTCAAACCACAGTTGGCCATGTGGGAGTCCAGTGCCTTAACCAGAGTCACTTCTTGGCCCCCCAGCATTTATTTTCTTATTTATTTATTTATTTTGGAGAGTTTTTTTGCTGTCGGGCGTGTGTGCTCGCCAGAAATAGACAGAGACAGAAAGTGAGAAATCACCCTCTCGAGGGATGGCCACGCTGCAGTCCCTTCTCTCTCATTCTCCTCTCAGGATCTTGGGCATGCGCGCACACGTGCCCAGTGTGAGTTTAAGCCACCAGGTTTGGGACTCCAACCATAGTCGACTACATGGGAGTCCAGTGACATAGCCATTATGCCAACTATTGGCCCCCAGCATTTACTTTCAGTAAAGAAAATAAGGGACAGAATTTAAGAATTCCATTTAGTAAGAGAGCACGTGGAAGGGGACCCACCAGTAAGAGGTAGATCGAACATTGGTCAGAACACTTAGAGGTCGGAAAGCCTGAAGGAAGGTGCTATTGAGCTGTGGCTGCTGTGGCCCCAGTTGTGGTCAGAAGTAAACTGTTGGTTTCTCATACATCGGACACCACTTTCTGAAATGAATATTCTCTATGTGATGAGCTAATTGTCAAGTAAGTTTTGTTGTTGTTTTTGCTTACCAGGAATTTTCTACTTCTGGTCATGCTTATACGGATACAGGGAAAGCATCAGGCAACCTAGAGACCAAATACAAGGTCTGTAACTATGGACTCACTTTCACCCAAAAATGGAACACAGACAATACTCTTGGGACAGAAATCTCTTTGGAGAATAAGGTAAGAGAAAGCATTAGAAGTTATTTTTAGGCTCGTTGTATCTTACAGACTGAATGATGAACAGATCCCAAATAGAGTGTGAACAAGACCTCGCAGTCTAGCAAGTTGCTGTATTTTTTCATTGCATGTGGCCTGCTTGGTATGTCTCCTATTTCTAGTAAGTGTGGCTTCGTGTATGAGTACTGTTCATACTACCTCTTTGTTTTGACCAGTAATACTTTATTTTGCAGCTAAGGCTCTCCTGGGTAGAGCAAACTATTTGTAGTAATTTAGTTTTGTAATCGGTGTAAAATTGGCTCCACCAGGAAGCGTTCTGGAGCGTCTGTAATGTGTCGAGGAGAACGTCTGTTAGCAGAGTGGCCAAGTGCTAGCATGTACATTGCCTTACATAAATGACGGGCATGGGCAGCTGACGAAGGCAGAGTTGAGTTGACGTTTTTAGTGTCAGGTTATCTCATTCCAGGAATCTCAAGAGAATATCAGGACTATTTTATAGTATTGGAATTCTGTTGTTTTTCTGTAATTTATGTTTTTTATGTAGCAGGGTTTGACCTATAGGTTTTAATGCATCTTTGGTGGCAGGCCTGTGGTAAAGGCTGACGGTAGTGGGGGTAAGGGGGGAGGAGGGATGGGAGGTGCTTTATTAATCATTTAATATTTGGCTCTCTTTAATGACTTTGTTTTTATCTTTAAGGAGTAAGTTAGAGGAAATGTGAGAATTGGTTTCTTGAATTGAAGACTCAAGAATCAGAAATGATTAACCACTAATTTTAAATCTTTGTTTTTCAGTTGGCTGAAGGTTTGAAACTGACTCTTGATACCATATTTGTACCAAACACAGGGTAAATATCCAGACTCTTTTTTGAAATATTTTTGGAGCCTAAACAGATAGAGAGCTTTAGAATAAGAAGGTGCAATGGAAAGCCTAGAAGCAGGAAGGTCTTAGGTGGTTGCTGTTAGGAACATGAGAGGCTGCGTGTACAGGAGAGATGAAGGGACAGCCCCTCGAGGGAGGGTAGAGAAGCAGCTTGAAAGCTGAACATATGGGGCCAGCCCTGTGGCCTGCTGGTTAGGGAGCTGGATACCTATGTGCTGATGTGCAGTTTGAACAGAGCCCCAGGCACTCGTGCATGTCTGTCCCAAATCCCAGCAGGGAAGAGAAGGGGTTGTGATGTGACCATGCTCCATTGAAGATGCTTTCTCCCTCCCTGTCTGTCTCTGACAAGTGTATGTATCCTCTGGCAAAGTTTAAAAAGTGAAAAGAAAATCATACAAACACATGGACAAAAAATGTTAAATGTATTCCAGGGAGACACACAGTAGAGAAGGTTTAGGTGTTAGTAGAGTTTTAAGACCATAGATACATTTTAAGCTAGTCTAAAGACCATAGACGTGGTATCCTACTGAGACATTTATTTGTTTTTCTTTTTTTTCTATAGGGTGTGTGTGCTTGCCAGAGAGAGACAGAGACAGACAGAGACAGAGGGGAAAGTGAGAAATCATCCCCTGGGGGGGTACAGCTGTGCTGCAGTCCCTTCTCTTCCATTCTCCTCTTGGGATTTTGGTCATGCATGCACATGCACCTAGTGTGATTTTCAAGCTGCTGGGTCCTGGACTTGATCTGGGCTCTGCTATGTGGGAGTCTAGTGCCTTAACCATTATGCTACCTGCTCTCCCCTAGACGTTGACTTCTTGAGAGTGTAATCTGCTGGCTCCAAAACACTGCGATGAGTAGCCATGCTACTGACTCATGGAGTCTCTAAATTCCCCAATTTCTTTGCCTCGGTTTCCTCATTAAAAATAGGACTGTGTCATTTTTTACCTGCCCAGCGTGGGTCTGTGCCATCTGAGGGTCAGAGGTGCTGGACAGAGGGTCCTTCCCATCACGTACCTTAGTTAACTGTAGGACAGACGTTTTCAAAAGAAGCCTGATCGCAATAGGACGAGGACTATTAAGAATTCATTTTGGATTTTCTTTATTGTCCTTCAAAACGGTACTTCTGTCTTTGAGACTGTGATAATGTGTGTCAGGTGTTGCTTTTTTGTGGTATTTGACATTCGGAACGTTTGATTTCCCATATTCGTATACATCTTCACATTATTAATTTGGCACTGAAATATCTAAAATTTAAGTTTTCGTTTGTGCCTTTTTGAAATCAGCCATAAAGTACCCGCCACTTGCGTGTATGTGAGGGCTAGACACTGACAGAACGTACGTCCTAGTCCTAGCAGAGTCGTATTTGTGGAGCTTAGCCATTTAAACCTTCTCACTGTATGTATGCCATTGACCAAATCCTACTTACCCTGGGTAGAGAGTGATTCCTGGACAGGAGGGAAAACTCATGTCATTATCTTGTTTGTTTTTACAGAAAGAAGAGTGGAAAATTGAAGGCCTCCTACAAACGGGATTGTTTCAGTCTTGGCAGTAATGTTGACATAGATTTTTCTGGACCAACCATCTATGGTTGGGCTGTGTTGGCCTTCGAAGGTTGGCTTGCTGGCTATCAGATGAGTTTTGACACAGCCAAGTCCAAATTGTCACAGAATAATTTCGCCCTGGGTTACAAGGCTGCAGACTTCCAGCTGCACACTCACGTGTGAGTATGTATAATTCATCTCTTCCTTAGTGTAAAAAGGAGTTAGCTGTTAGCCTGCTGAGAAGGATGTCCTTGTGTTTACTGTGTCCTGGAGGACACCCCATGCCGCTGTGCTGCCTCATAGTCAACAAGACCTTGCCAGGGGTAGTGCACTGGGTGAGGGCTGCAGTGCTCCTGGTCACCAGCCTCTCAGCCTTCGCCCCGCAGTTTAGGAAGCTCTGGGATCTGTGGAAGAACCACTAGGGTGGAGGGGGCCCAGAGCATGGTTTACCTTCTGGTGGAAGAATCCCTTGGCGACGTTCCTGCTCCTCCTGTGCCCTCCTCATCTTGGCCGTGTCCACAGGCAGGTTTGTTTGGCATGAAGAACAACCACAGATGGATGTGAGCATCCTGGAGCTTCCCATGAACTCCGGAGATTTTCAGGA